AAGTGATCCTCCCACCGTAGTCTCCTGAGTCACTGGGATTATAAACATGAGGCACCCCATCTGGCAGAACCAAAATCTTTCAGAGCTCAGAGCCTGTGCTCTTAATCACTATAATGGTTCCACTGATAGACAAGGCAGAAGAAAAAAAAGACAAAGGAGCTTGTGAAGAGGCCACAGGAAGAACAGAAGATGGTGGTATTATTATTAATTTTACGATTATTAATATATAATCTTGTTCTCTCCACCTGGAATACCTCATCCCTGGGACACTTTTTCCTCATGACACTTCTCTGCCTAGGAACTTCTATTTATTCTTTAAGAACTTGACTCAGATGTCATCTCCTCTGAGGAGTCTTCCCATATCCCATCTCCCCAAACCTCCAATCCTCTGGAATCCCACAAAAATTTGCTCAGATTTCTATTGTAGCCCACATTATATGATAAAGTGTTCATTTTCATACCTCCTTCTTGTACTAAATTCAGAATTCCTCGAGGGCAAGGACTATGTCTAATTATTCCTTGTGGTTCCAGTGCTTAGCTCAGCTCATTGTAGGTTCTCAGGGAAAGTGAGTGAGTAATGAACCAGTAAATGAACCAGTCATCACACCTCGAGGACCCTCTGTCTTACCAGCTACCATGCTAAGAGATGTAAAGTTAAAAAGATCAGGCCGTCGACCCCCATAAAGTTCATAAACAAATTGAGGATGTGTTCCTATCTTTCAATTCTACGTTATAGAAATCCAACACGAACTAGCTTAAAAGGAAGAAAAAAATGTGGGCAGGGGACAGAATTTATTTTTCCTAGGCAGGTTACTTCTCTTAATAGTTTCAAGAATAGCTGAATCTGAGAACCAAGGGTTTCCAACAATGTTATCTTCCAGATTAGGTCTCTTTCTATAACCTGCTCTTGGGTGGCTTCATCCTCAGGAATTTTTTTCCCCATGTGAATGCCCCTCACAGCTCCGTGTTTACATCCAATTGTAGCAGAAATAGAGCTTTTTATGCCAATGGTCTTAGCAAAAGTCTTACAAGTAATTCTCAATGCTTTTAAATGAGTCACCTGCCCTTCACTGAACCCATTATAACAACTCTGAATAGTTCTACATCATATGCCTACCTCTGGATTTGGAAATGGGGTTGATCCCATCCAAATCATATGGGTTAAAAGTGAGGGAAGGTTGTTCACCAGAGAAAAATCAAATTGCTGTTACTAAAATGGGGAGAAGATATTAGGCAAGCAAAAACCAACACATAGCCTCCATAGAGGAGATATCCTATACATTAGTAATTATATGGTAAGGCTAGGAGTGATGCTTGTCTTAAGTGCTTACAGCCAAAGATCAGGTAGGAGAAATGGATTATTTCAAGGACAGCTATTCACAAACACCTTCTAGGAGGAAGCCTATGAACTAGGCCTTTTGGGTAGGTAGGATTATGGTAGATGAAGATGATGAGGCCTTTCAGATATGTGGAAAGGCATGAACAAAGGCAGGGAGGTAAGTATCTTTTGGAGGTTTTCCAAGTTTGTTGGGAACTTTTAGGAATTAAGTCTGGAACTTTGGTTGGGGGCTAGATCTATCCGTAGTCTAACAAGTGTGAATCTTCTATGCAGATTTCTTCCATATATGATCTCAAAAAAGAGTAATTTTGGCAGGCACCAGGAGTAGTATCATTTTTCCCATGTTACCGATGGGGCAAGTGAGACCTAATGCAAGAGATGCCTGCTGAGAGTTCACTTTCTTGTGCCGGGCGACAGAACAGCACAAGAAGCCCAATTCCTGCCCTCCAGCCCAGGACTGTGCCCCTCCCCCATCCACAGTAAAAATTAAATCTCAGATTGGAAATGTTCAGGATAGCAGCTGTGGCTCAGCCCCAGGACCAGCCTGAGAACACCTTTGGAGGAAGCTGTGGGAACAACCATATAGGCAGAAAGAAGTTATCTAACTCAAATAATTAAGAGCAGAGACTATAGAGTCAGGCCTGGTTTTTATTCTCAGTTTTATGAGTTAAGGTGTTACCTTGGGCAGATTATATAACTTCTCTAAGCCCTAGTTTCTTCATCTGTAAACAAGGTAAAAAAGAATACCTATCTTATAGGATGGTTCATGAGGTCTCAATGAAGTATTGAATATTAAGAACTTGACACTCTCTTTCCCATTTAGTCTCATCTCTTATTCTGGTCTAGTCTCCTCTTCCTCATCCAGTCTCATCTCCTCTTCCTCGTCTGGTCTCATCTCCTCTTCCTTGTCTGGTCTCATCTCCTCTTCCTTGTCCAGTCTATTCTCCTCTTCTGGTCTGGTCTCCTCTTCTGGTCTGGTCTCCTTTTCCTAGTCCAGTCTCATGTCCTCTTCCTTGTTGGCTCTGGTCTCCTCTTCTGGTCTGGTTTCTCATCTCTTCTTCCTAGTCCAGTCTTGTCTCCTCTTCTGATCTGGTCCCCTCTTCCTCATCTGGTCTCGTCTCCTCTTTCTTGTCCATTCTGGTCTCCTCTTCCAGTCTGGTCTCCTCTTCATCATCATCTGGCCTTGTCTCCTCTGCCAGTTTGGTCTCCTCTTCCTCGTCTGGTCTCATCTCCTCTTCCTCATGTGGTCTCATCTGGTCTTGTCTCCTCTTCCAGTCTCATCTCCTCTTCTGGTCTGATCTCTTCTTCCTCCTCTAGTCTCATCTCTTCCTCTAGGGTAGTTTCCTCTTCCTCATCCTATCTGGTCTCCTCTTCCTTGTCTCCTCTTGTCTGGTCTAATCTCCTCTTCTTCATCCAGTCTGGTCTCCTCCAAGACATTCCATTTTGATGGATCTTTTTCAGTCCTCTTTAAAATAGTTCTGTCATAATGTCTACTATTTGAAGAAAGTCCTGGGAAATATATAATAAACTGAGCATATATAACACTTGTTTGGAAGTGATTTCTCTCGTGATCTTTGAGATCTTTTACTTGATCAAATGTAAAAGAACTTTTGACAGCATCCACAAGCATGTCCCCATCTATGGTGACAAAAAAATAACCCCTTATTGGAGGATAATTGGTGCCAGAAAATGAGGTTTGACAGCAAATCTATTTCAGAAGGAACCAATATTTCATGATGAATAGTTTAACCATTCAATTAACAAAAGGTTTCATTGGAATGTTATCTTTAAGCTGGAACCAAAAATTATGCAAATAAGGATACTTTCTCTTACATTTAATACAGTGAAGGTTATAAATCTCTATACTAATTAGAACAAAGAACATACCAAGGGTTGACTGTTTTTATTTTTCTTTATTTTCTTTTATTTTTCTTTATTTGCTATAATTTTTCTGGGTAAATTGTATAGTAGTATCAAATATCATCCATCACCACATATTTGATTTTAGTAACTTGGTTACAAACAGTGGCATTTTTGCAAAAATATTAAAAGGTTGATCTATTTTTCCAAGAGCCTCTCTAAATTCTCTGATATTGGAGTCATTTTCTCCTTCTCACCTTTAAAAAAATTAACAGCTTTATTAAGATATAATTCACATATCACACATTCACCTATTTAAAGTGTGCAATTCAATCGTTTATATACAGAGTTGTACAACTATTACCTCAGTCAATTTCAGCACATATTTATTACCCCTAAAATAAATTTTGTATCCATTGTCTATAATTTCCCAATTGCCCCCAAACCTTTTCTCCACCCACCTCTATTCTCAGCCCTAGGCAACCACTAATCTATATTCTGTCTCTGTAGATTTTCTTATACTGGGCACTTCATATGAATGAAATCATACAGTATGATCTTTAGAGACTGGCTTTCATTGAGCATAATGTTTTCAAGGTTCATCCATGTTGTAACATGTATCAGTGCTTCATTCTTTTTGGTTGTTGAATAATATTCTATTGTATGTATTCTATTCTATATGTATGTATAATATTCTATTGTTGAATAATATTCTATTATATGTATATACCACGTGTTTATGCATTCATCAATCAATGGGCATTTATGTTGTTTTCACCTCTTGGCTATTGTGAATAGTGCTTCCATCAATATGCATGTACAAATATTTGTTTGAATACTTGCTTTAAATTCTTTTTGGTATATACTTATATGGAATTGCTGAGTCATATGGTAACTCTATGTTTAACCTTCTGAAAAACTGCCAGACTGTTTTCCAAAGCAGCTGTACGATTTAACATTTCCACCTGGAGTCATTGTCTTTTGAAATAGCTATTTATTATCATCAATTTTTCTTCTTCAACTGCTAACTTGTCTAACTGTCAGATCCTCATTTATAAATAGTTTTGCAAAGAACCTGAGCAGTTTTCCAACCTAATTTCATCAACTTCATGAATTATGGACCTTCATCAGAATTTCTCATTTCACTTTACACTAGATTTACCCTCTAGTGATAGGATACTACATCCAGTGTGCACATTTCTTAAAACAACCCCATGAAGTATTATTAGATGCAATTTAAACAAAAGCAAACATAGACTCAGCAAAATTAAATAATTATCTAGTAGATGGTTGAACCAGCAGTCAAACTATTATGAAGAATAGAATTTTTTTTAATGGGAAAAGTAATATATTTAAGGGTAGTGTTATTCAAAGGCACTAAACACACTCTGAGCTTCTACTACTTAAGCAACCTAATTTCCTCCTCCCAGGAACTCTAAGCGAATAGTATAGAAGTTAGCATGTCTATGCTGTAAATAACAGAAAATGTGACCAAATGTGGCTTAAACCATCATGATTTCTTTTTCTTACATAATACAAAGTCCTGGGTAAGGCAGGTATAATGTCATTTCCACAGCTTAACATTGTCAGAGCTTCTGAGTCTATTTCAATGTGATTCGATTGGCTTTTCCTTCACAGTTACAAGATGGTTGCAAAAACTCCAAGCATCATGCCCTCACCCTGCTATTCCCAAAGCAGGAGGGGAGGGAAGATGTTTTTTTCTTACGTGTTTCTTTCATTTTATTAGAGAGAAAAATCTTTTTTTCTGAGAAAACCTTGCAGATGTTCTCTTATGTTTCAGCGGCCATAGAGGAATTACATGCCTATTCTGAATTCCAAGACAAGCTGAGAAATTGAGTGTCTGACAATTTCAGCCTCCCTATTGTGTGTGGGGCTCTACTGGCTTGGAAAAAGTGTGGAAGAATGGCTGGTGAGTCAGTAGTCTACTATGTGTGCTGCAGTTAGGAATTAATATCTCTAGTCTAAAGATCCCTGAAGCTCAGATATGCTAGGTGACAACACACAGTTAGTTAGTGGTAAAGCTGAGAGCTGAGTCAGGTAGTTTGGATACTAAAGTCCATACTACAGCTCATGGTCTGGAAGATGATGTGTCCATTTGAAAAATGTAACTGTAGGTGTGTAACTATTTTACTTATCATATGAGTAAGAGAGATGTAGATGGTTAAAATGCATTAACTTTCTAGAATATAAATTAAGATTATTCTTGTTTGTGTGTCATGAAACAGGTTCTGAAGGCATTTGTCTTTTGATGAATTATACATTTTTTGGCTTTATAAAAATTAAAACCTCTCTTTTCACACTGTGTTTCTGAAGTAGATTATTTGGGGAAAATGTAAACTAAGATTTTAGACAGACAAATATGTTTTCCTTGAAAAGCCATTTGCTTACCTGGCAGAGGAACGCAATCTCAGGGTAAGTCTGTTTCAATTCTTTTCTTCAAATAAAGTCATGATGAGAAAATTAAAGACATAACACTAAGGGTTTCACAGATCTTTTCTCATTTGACCCTCACGGCATCCTTATTGGATACCTGTTGATTTCCATTTTATCCAGGTAGAAACTTAGGCATAAAGAGATTTAATAACTTGTCCAAGGGAACACAGTAATAAATAGTAGAACTGAGAATTGAACCAAATCTGATTCCAAAACCCGTGTTCTTAATCACATGCTGTATTCCCAGTACATCATAATACTATTTGAACTTCATTTCTATTAATAACATTCCAAGAAGAGAAAAGAAGGCTAGTACTAGAATTGTGATTAATGAATAAATAATTTAGCATACGATTTTTTGAGCTTAGATGAACTTTGTCTGATCCCAGTGACACCGATAAGGACCCTATTTGTATTTAGAGAACTAAAGTTGACTTCAGAAGTATTTCTGTGAGGTAGGAATACGTTTTTGATTTCAAACTCTTACGGGCTATTCTTTGATAGGGAGGGTATTGTGAATAACTTTAACAGTGGAGAATCCCAAAGAAAAATGCTATTTTGTTTGAGAATGAATTTGTAGCTTCATGGAGAGACCTATTTAGAGAAGCTCTAATGTCAGATACCTTAAGGTGACTTACTGTATACCTGTCTCCAAAGTCCTATTTAGAGCCACCTAATTCTGTCTGAGGGTGAGGTGTGGAAACTATTGGTAAGACTGATATGTCAAATGGTCAAGAATCTGTAATCCAGAGTAGACTCTCTCTCATCTGAGGTTTCAGTGAGTATACAGACATTTCTGGCCTAGTTTATAGAAGGAGGTGGCCTGTCTACTCTTCCGCTCATAGGGACTGTATCTATTTGTTGAGAAGAATCCATCTATTCCAAAGCTCTCTTCTGCTTCACATCCTGCTTTATGTAGCTCTATGTTTTCTTCAGCCTCAGAGCCTAGTCCAACGACAATCATGAGGTCAAGTATCCGTTTTGTGCATGAGTCCCTGTTTCCTCTTCACCTTGATGACGTGATCTTTCCCCCCTTACAAGCCCAGTGTTTTTAGGGCCTACAGCTATTAAGTTAGGCAGGTCCACATCTGGAGTTCCTGTCTGCTACTTTCTAGTTACACGATGTTGGGCAATTTGCCCATTTTTCTAAAACTCAGTTTCTTTACTGGCAAAGGCAGAGTAATATAGAGTTACCTGAAGATCAAATGAAATGATGTCTGTAAAGTATCCTGATTGAGTATCTGCTTTAGCAGTGTTGGTTTCCTACCCTACCCTCCTACCCAACAACTTAGCAATAAAAATCCCCTGTTTGGCAAGTTGTTGGTGAACACAGTCATACTCAGACCGAACTCCAATGGACTAAAAAAGCTTTAAGGGTTTCTATTCCTTAGAACAGCTGTGACTGGCATTAAGGAAAGGATCTCTACTGGTGGAACTGCAAATATCCTCACGTCGATGAGGGATGATATTGAGAGAGCATGGGGGCCTCTATGGAATTCTAGAAATGATAATGTGGAAGCCAGTATTTCTTATTGGAAAATATTGAGAGAGAAAAAATAAATGTCTATTTTCTGAAAATTGTAAGACTAGATGAACTTGAAATGTCCTTCAAGAATTAGATGAACAAAGTGCTCTTTGTTTCTTGTCTTTCTTGTGTGATTTCTGTTGCAACTCAGATGAAGATTGGGGATTGGCAACTTTTTGATTTTGTGGCATATCATGGGGACTAAATGAATATTAACAAATTCCTGGTGACCTGAGAATGCAGGACTCCATAGTTATTCCTCAAGGAAACAGTTTGTACCTAAACAGCTTCTGATGTGCAGGAGAGTTAGATGTTGGAAAACCTCATAAAGGAGAAGCTGTGAAATTCAGGCTGTTTATCAAATAGTTTAATTTTCCAGGAAGACAGAAAAGAATAAACCAATATGATGAAGGCCTTCTGTTTGGCTTTGTAACATAGAACATAAAACATTTACCTTGAAAAATTGTTGAATGGGCCCACAATTCACATAAAAATATGCTGCCTTTCTGAGTATGTTATGGGAACATTTTTTTTTGATCCCTGTTTGGAAATTGCTCATTTAAAAAAACTTCATGATTCATGATCCATTTCACAATGTCTCTTTGGAGTTAAGCAGGCAAGGTCAACAAACTTGATTTGAAGAGGTAGTTTATGAAGAAAGTCAACAGCGTAGACTTTGAACTTGTCTTAGGTTGATTACTGGGAAACATACTCTGAGGTGGAGTGGAGTTCGGTGTACATGAGTTTTATCAGGGGCGTATGCTTGGGCCAACACATGCAAAGATGTGGGGGAAGCAGAATTGGACAGGGGGAGACATTTAACTGGGATGCGGTTGGGGCAGAGGCCTCGGAAGATACCAGGAGAACTTCTTTTATGAACTGGGTATAACCTTGAATGAGACACCTTTCTTCATTAGGGGAGCTCCCTTTGTGGAGGAAAATTCTGAGAGAGATCAGTTGTGAGTCCTCAGCAGACAACATTTTGGCTGGCTCCCCCTTTGTCCAGCACAGGGGTCATACAGACCTGGGTTAGAATCCAGTGGCCCCATGCCTTGGTCGTTGTGGGTATCTGGGGAAGTCAATTGAATCTCTGAGACTATCTCACAGCATTTTGGAAGTTCAATGAGCTTTTCTGCTTTGTGAAGTGTCTAGTATACAGGCGATGCTCAACAAATGTTGTTAGTATCATGGCACTCTGTAAAAGTTATTAGTTGATCCCTTTCTCCTGAGCTCTATATGCATATATCTAATTGCTAACTGACTTCTTATATCTAAGTGTGCCACAGGTTCTTCACATTCCATTCTCCTACACACAGCCCTTATTTACTCCATCCTCAGGCTATAGCCTGAAAGAATGAGGGTAATGGATATGGAGAAATAGCCATAAGAACAGGAGCAAGAGAGAGAGAGAGAGAGAGAAAGAATGAGAGAGGAAAATTTTGATCACCTGGAAACCTTAAAGCCAAATCCTCCCCTGGAGTTTGCAGTAATATGAACCAATTCTTTTTTTGATAAAACTAGTTTTAATTGGTTCTATGTCACTTGTAATCAAGAATCCTGACCGATGTTTCATTTTCTGGTTTTGTCCTCCTTGCCTGGATGAAACTAATCTTTTTAGCCTGCTCCTTTATTGGGAAGCTCCTTGTAATGCCAGGTACCTGTTTTGTCAGAGCCTTAAGGTAGACTCGCAAAGGAGTAGATGGCTTCCAAATTAAACACTTCTACCCTGCTCCACACTCCAAGCCTATGACAAAGAGAAGCCTAGAGTGCTGACAACAGAAATCACTCCTTGCCAGCCTCAGGGCTTTCAATTTGTTAATTTAGAGTCCCTGGTGGACCCTGTGTAACTTTGAACTATGCTTGGACACTGCTGAAAAAATAGCAGGCAATTTTATTGGACAGAAAAAGAAGCCAGGGATGATGTTGGACATCTTTGCTTCTTTGGGAAAAATTAAATATTCAATCCCCTAAAGCTTCTTAAAGAAGTTTTATGGCATTTTGTTGCATATTAATAATCTAATTACAAAAAAATTTTAACTGCTCAGAAAAACATAAGTCAGACTACTACTTGATAAGTATTTTGAAATCTTCTAGTGTATGTTTATTTATGAAAGTGTTAAGACTGAATTATTTCCAATGACTGTGTAAGGTAGATTTCATTAATTCAGAAAGTTTCTTTGTTCCATACTCTTGTTTCATAGTGGCTAAGTTTTATTCTTTGTGACTTAATAATTTGTACTGATTTGAACTTCTTGAGGACAGAAATTTTATGTATTTAACTAACTTTGAAGAGAATCCAGAATAATTCCCAGATTGCTTTCTCCCTGAACTTTTGTATTAGTTGCCTGTACACACACCAATCATTTTTTTTTTACTTAGCATATGCTTTCTTGTATTTGAACGTTTTTTTTTTAATTTGAAGGGAATATGCAAAATTAAAGACAGACACAAAATACAAAGAGCTCCTTTCTTATGAAGGTCTTTTGCTTCCTATTTTTAATTTGTATATATACTTTTATTCTATATTTTCTGTTAATATTATGCTATTTTAAATAGCCAATTGCAACATTTTACTAATCTTCCTAATTTTCCAATTTTAGATTCTAAACTTAATTTTTCAGTTATTGTCATATACAGCCCTCCCTCTATATCCATGGGTTCCACATTCATGGTGTCAAACAATTGAGAGTTGAAAATATTCAGAAAAAAATGCATCTGCACTGAACAAGGATAGGGATTTTTTCCTTGTAATTATTCCCCAAGCAATATGGTATAGCAACTATTTACATAGCATTTACATTGTATCAGATATTAGAAGTAATCTGGAGATGATTTAATGTATACAGGAGGATGTGCATATGTTATATGTAAACACTATGTCATTTTATATCAGGGGTAGCTGTCGGAGGTCCTGGAACCAATCCCCAAAGGATATTGAAGGATGACTGTATATATATGTGTGTGTGTGTGTTTGTCTGTATACACACAGACACACAAACACACTGAATCCTCAAATAGATTGTAAACATTTGAAGGCAGTAATCATATATTTCTTACAACTTTTTCATTCTTTAGTGTCAATCAAAGTGCTTTATACTTTGTAGAAACTCAACAGTGTTTTAATTATGGTGGTCATGATAACAATACATCATTCTGTAGATCTAGGAAAAGGATCTAATAATTTACCATGGACCTGACTGCCTCCTAATGGAGCTACTTTTGATGAAAGAGCAAGCAGACCCTGGCACTTCCTCAGGCTTTCTCTGTAACTATTAATGTTTCTTATAACTTTTTGGTGATTCCTTACCTCCTAGGACAGTAGAAGTACATCTTTGAGAATTCAATTGTGTGAAGAATGTTTGCAAAATGGATTCAATTCCTTCAGTCTAAAGCTAGAAATGTTGAGAAACTGGGAAGAAAGGAGAGAGTAGAGAAATGGACAATGAGGTACAAGGAAAAAAATAAGAATGTGTCTTTGCCATTTTAGTATTTATCTCTGCCAGAATTCTGCTCTCTGTATGCAGCTCATGTTCCTTTGTCTCTGTCTCTACTACAGGATTTCTTCTCATTTTCACACCTAAAATAGTTGTGGAAAGTAGAAAGTATTCAGTAACAAGAAGCTGGGAATACAGGGACTGAGCGAGAAAGGTATTCAGCAGGAAGCATTTTATCAAAGCACCTAGGCGCCCATTTCAAGCAGTACCTAGCTTCACTCTAGGGTAGATAAAAGAAGAAAAATAATAAAATAATAATATTCATCCATTTTTTTCCATTAAATAAATATTTATCTGTTGCCCACAATGTGCCCAGCATATTATACAGTACTTTACAGCTTAAAAATGACAACCATATATGTGAATAGAGTTAGTGTCAGACTTTGGGGTGCAGCTGGAAATCTGCAGAATAAAGAGGCCTAGGAATTGTCTGGGAGGGACAGAGGTGAGGAGATGAGGGGGGTTTTCCTTCAAGTACATTTTAATCCTCCGTTTGCACTTTTGTTTCCTATTTTATCTTCATTTATTTGTTTTAAAAAGTTCAGTTTTATATAGACAGTTAAAAGAACCAAGTCTCTCTGTAGGTCATATGAGAATGGATACATCATTATCAGTCATTTTTCAATGTCAGCAGATTGAAGCATAAATTGTTAGCAATTAAATTAATGTAACCCTTGGCCCTTGATAGCTACAGAATCTAACTTAGAATATTTTTGCAAAAAAATGACACAGACTATCAATATGTTTCCATTTACCTCGTGGTGAAATCCAGCATCACTGTTGTGCATGGGTGCTTAAGAGTTCAACACACAGGGATGATTCAGAAAAGGTGGTCAGAACCCTACTCACAAATTAATACCCACATTAATAACTCAGTAAGATTTTTTCTTAAGTGAAATGTTCTCATATTAGCCTTTTGCTCCTGTCCAGCAATTCTTAGCTTCTAGAGTGTGACTGAGAGTAATGAGGATGTGACAAATGAAGTCTTTAAATGGAATTAGCCTATCAGCTTTGAGGAAATCCTCACTGGGTTGGCCACAGGAGAGAATGGCTGATGAGTTCTATTGCTGGGAGTCCCTATAGCTTGATTCTATTCCCTCAACTGCCATGACTTAACTGCTTAAACATGACCTAGTCATAAAAATATGCTGAGCATATTTAAGTTTTAAGAGGACAAGATGGTCTTTTTAGGTCCTTTTCAGACTTAAAATAAAATAAGTATCTATGAGAGGATGGGTTGCAAAACAAATGCTTAGTATAATAACTGCATAGATAATGAGAGTTGAAACCAGACTTTGGGATAAAGCTGAGAATTCTTTTTAGGAGTTATTAAACGACCAGAAGTTGGTGAGTGGGTTTATGGGGAACTGTGAGCAGCATAAACAAGAAGGGAATGTAGAATACAGGGGTTCTCCTCATGGTGCCAGTCTTAGGACTAGTGTTTCTTAGGACTCACTTTGGGACACACGTCTAAAGTAGAGCACTTTGGATCAAGCAGGAAATAGTAAGTACAACAGATGACTCTAAGCCACATATTTTTTTTTTTTTAGTTGTTCTTTTTTTGTTTTTTTTCCTTGTTTTTTTGGACCCGGTTCCTTTTGGGTTGGCGTTGGGTCCTTTTTTTGGAATTTCGGAAAATTTTGCGGAGTTGTTTTTTTCTTGGTTAACTTTTTGTCCCGGTTGCCGGTTTTTTATTGGTTTGGGGGAGGGGGTTGGGGAGGCGGGGGCGGATTGCCTTTGATTGGGAGGGACTGTTACGGGTTGTTGTTACCGGGGGGGGGGTTATTCTTGCCGTTAAGGTTTCTTTTAATTCGGGAAATTCACCCCTGGGGGGTTCCCTTGGGTTTTTTGTTCGGTTCAGGCGGCGGAACTTGGAATTCCGGTTTTCAGAAAGCTGGGGGATATTGGAGAGAAAAAGGGATAGGTGCCCAGGAAAATAGTTTGGGGAATAAGAATCTAGGTGTTGCTCTAGCTTGTGCACAACAAATCCTCAATAACTAGTCATTGAATGAATGGAGACCAATGACCAATGGAAGTTGATATTTAATAGAAGGGGTTTGAGTTAGGTGGTTGTGCACATTCTTTCTGCTGAGGATCAGATATGATTTCAGATGATGGGTGAGCTGAGCTCTACAGGAGTAGGAAAATCAGGTTATCCCAGATGAGTAGGGAAGAAAGAGGCAGAGAACAAGACAGCTGTCAACTCTAGGCTCAGGTGCCTTCAAACATATAAATCTCTCAAGTTGTTGAAATGTGCCCCAACAGCTGCCAGTTCAGTTTACACTTTCGGGTTGCCTGTTTTGTCACTGAAAACAGATACTGTCATCATTTCAGTAGAGAGTATCTGTGGATAGCACGTGTTTCTCATACATTTACATAGCAAGTTTACAGCTAACAAAAGATTGCCCTGATGAATGCACAAGGAAAGAGATTAAAACGTACAAATATGCTTAAGGCTGAACAGAAAATATTTGCATTTTCTCTCTTTCATGAAAGTGGAGGCTTAAGTCAGTATGAAAAACAGTTATTCTTTCTCCATTTATTCTAAAGCTTAACAGTTCATTGTTATAGTAATACTCTCATTCACATTTTAAACAGATTTTTAAAAGATCCATGTTTCTAATCCATGTTATGTAATGTTCAACTACCATGTTCACAATAAGATAAAACTAATAAAATCAGGGAAGAACACTGAGGTTTAATGTATAGTAAGGTGGTTAAGAGAGTCAGAGTGCCTATGTTTATATCGTGGCTCTGATACTTAATGCTATGTGACTTTGGATAATACACTTTTTGTGCCTCAGTTACACAATCTATAAAAGCAAAATCATAATAGTGTCTCTCTTATAGGGTTATTTAGGGATTAAATTAGTTAATATATGTAAAGTACTTAGAACTGTGGCAGGCACAAAGTAAATGTAACAGAGTACTAATGTTTGTTATTGTTAATAATTAAAATGTTATTATTAAAGAATATAGTCATAGGGGCCAGTGGTTGGGATTGGTTTTGTCTTGTGTTGTGGCATCAACCTCCTTACAAGCTCTTGGCTTCAGTTTCTGAAACTGCAAATAATACTAGAACATAAGATTTCCTTATCATGCACTTAATTTTTATCTCAGTCTCCTCAATAACATCTCATTTCTATAGTTTACCTGTTTATAGTGCTTTCACTCAATCAAAATACTTACTGAACACCCACTCTCTGTCTGGCATAGTTTCAGACCCAGTGGAAGCAAGGAAAAGACCAGTTGACAAATGGTCAACTTGACCTGGAACCACAGTGGAGAAGATGAGAAAGGACCCTGATCGTGTGGAATTGAACTTCTGGTTGAGACTGGTGGAGAATAAGTAAGGAAACAAACAAATATAACAATTTCAGAAATACCTGTGAAGAAAATAAAGCAACATAAACCTTGCTAAGAAGATTGTAAGTTGGAAGAGGGGACACAAAATAGATGAGTGGTTTTTTTTAAAAAATGAATTCATCTTGGACGATGGCTTTCTGCCCAACAGAGAGAGTTATAGACCATAATGTGAGCCACTTATATAATTTTAATGTTTCTCATAACCATTAAAAAAAGTAAGAAGAAATAGATGACATTAATTGTAATAATATAGTTTAACCCGATATACCCAACATATCATTATTTCAACATGTAATCACATGAAAAATTGAGATATTTTTCATTCTCCTTTTTTGCACAAAGTCTTCAAAATCCAGCATAATATTTGATACTTACTTAGCACATCTCAATTTGGAATTGCCATATTCCAAGTTCCCAGCAGCTGAAGGTGGCTGTGGTCACTGCAATCGATAGTGCAGGTCTGAACCAGAGGTTGACAAACTGTAGCCCTTGGGCCAAATATTGCTAGCCACCTGTTGTTTTATATGGCTTACCAGCTAAGCATTGTTTTTATATTTTAACATAGTTAAATTTTAAATGGTCACGTAAGTTACTAGAAATTAATCTTGGTTTTGCCTTAAAACTTAAGATATTTAGGTCCTGGCCCTTTAAGAAAAAGTTTTTAGATCTTTGATCTGGATTATCACAACAATCCCCACAGAGATTATGAGGCCCCAGAAAACAGGGCCCATTTTATTCCATTTTCTCTCCCCACTGTTCAGCAAGAAGGCCTGGCAATAGTTGAAACTCAGTGTATTTCTTTTACATTGAATTGATTTATATAAAAACGTTAAGCTGGTGCTCACAGTTATGTAGGGTTACCTTCAGACTAACACATGTTTATTCCTGGTGATTGATCATTGCATCATAATTTCACATGAAAATAAAGGCAGTTTCTAATTTTGAGTGCTTTCCTTATCATTGCTCCACACCCCCAAATTTCACACACTGAGTTTATAATACATTGCCAAACTAATTATCATTCCTAAATTCTCCCTCTATTGTTTTATTTGCTGTTTTCTGCCAATGCCTAATCACAAGAGGACAATAGATGTCATTTTCATAACTCTTTAAACACATACTTGTCTTAAACAATGATTGCATCATTTGTTGCTTAAAATCTTTTTTCCTTCCTCCTCTAGTAAGTAATCTTAGCACCCAGCACAGGGACTGGAGAGTGTGCTGTGTTACAAAGAGTGTTGGGAAACATGTTAAAAGTCTATGAATAACCTCTGGGTACAGTGCATTGGAAGAACATTCTAGACAGAAGAAACAGTGAAAACATAAGCACTGAGGATCAGGGACACAGGAGAATGAAAATTTGTTTTGGGAACTGCAAATAGTTGGCTTGGCTGGAACGTTGAGGGCCTGGCAGGGGAGAATGGAGGAGGTGAGGCCCGAGATAGCGACAGGTCTCAGGTATGCGGGCACATCTTCAAAGGGTATGCGGGCACCAGCACTTCAGAATTTATTTTGAAGGCCAAGCTCTCAAGTACTTACAGAGGCCAGGCAGGGAAGGAAAGGCATAGCTGGGTGCCAGATGACAGAAGGCAACTGTCTGTCAGCCTCAGTGCAAAGGGACAGTTCTGGGAGGAGAGAACTCTGATGGACTTGAGAGGGTTTGCAGCCAACTGTTGCAACTCAGCTTCTAATGGATGGAGAATACAAATGTCCCCTCAATACATGGAGTGGTCATAAAATTAGTCCTATTTTTGTCTACAAAGAAAATTTCTGTAAAAAACTTTCAGAAAAATAGAGATTTTTGTAGGTAACATTGTCCAGTGAAGAGCCAGTAAAACAATAAATAATAACAAAAAGACAAATATAAATTAAATTAACCAGCTATCATTTCATTCATGAAATTGGCAAACACTAAAAATTATGGTAATACAAAATATTGTCAGGGATAGGAGGAAAAGGTCACTTCTGAGTGTGCTGGTGGAAATGTGAATTATTACATAGTTTCTGGAAAGCAATCTGGTGCTAATCATTAAAGTTAAATGTATACATACCTCTTGACCCCACGATCTCATTCAGAAAAATCTAGTGTTTAAAAATAAAAACCCAAGTAATTAAGTATTCATGTACAAGAATATTTAGTGTATTATTGTTCTCTGTAGAAAAAAGGACAGAAAAAAAGTGAAGAGGGACTAGTTGAACAAATCCTGGTACATCCATATAATAGAATACTATCGAGCTATTTTTAAAAGAATGAATTATATTTGTATTCTTTGACTTGGAGAGATCTCAGTATTATATGATTTTGTAATAAAAGTAAGGCACTGAGAAGTAGACACAAAATTGTCACATTCTTCAGTATCAAACAATGTTACAAATATTCTCACCATATATAATAAATAACTGTAGATGTTTATATGCGATTATATCAACCTAAAGAAAAGAGTGGAATAATAGACAATTGAATCTGGAGTGTGGTGGGTATTTATGAGAATGGGAAAGGAAATGGAGAAAAGGAAGAAAAGTACAACTTTAGAAAGACTTAAAAAATTGGTCAATGACAAAAACAGAATGTATAATGGTGTTATTCCTGAGTCTGAGTGGTGAAATTTTAGTTTTTTGTTTTTTATGTCCTGAGAGCTAAGAATTATATATGTATGTGCATATATACAAATTATATATATATATATATATATATATATATATATATATATATATATATATATATAAAATTGAGACACGGTCTCATTCTGTTGCCCAAGCTGCAGTGCAGTGGAGTGATTGTAGCTCACTGTAGCTTTGAACTCCTGGGCCCAAGTGATCCTCCTGCCTCAGCCTCCTGAGTAGCTGGGACTATAGGCATGTGCCACCCCGTCTGGCTAAGTTTTTAAATTTTTTGTAGAGACGGGGTCTTGCTGTGTTGTCCAGGCTGGTCTTGAACTTCTGGGCTCAAGCAATCCTTCTGCCTTGGCCTTCCAAAGTGCTGGGATTATGGGCTTGAGCCACTGTGCCTGGCCTTTATATTTTTAAATGGTTACTTTAAAATGGTTATATGGATAGCTGGTACAATAGCCTTGATTTTGTCACTTGGTCCTCAAAGCCTGCAATATTTACCATGTGGACTTTTTGAAATAAATTTGCTGACCTCTGATCTATAGGAAAAACAGCCAACCTGTTAAAACTCAGAAGATCCCTACTTCTACTTTGAAAACAATTTGAGGTAAACAGGAGACACAACTTTTCTCTATTATTTAGTGACTCTGCTTGAGGTCACCTCCATTTCATTTTATTGTTTTGTGGTTTTTGTTTTTATCAATTTATCATACATTCTTAAAAAGTGCTTCTAGAGGATCTTCTCCTCAGTCACAATGTCCTCTACAAAAACAAACAAACAAACAAATCCAACATTTTATTGAAAGAGATGAAAGAATACCCAAATATGTAGAGGGATACCATACTCATGGATTAGAAAATCTATTATTGCGAAGATGTCATTTCTCAACACATTTATCTACATTTTCAATACAGTGTCAATAAAAATTCAAACAAATTTTTAAAACTGCTATTTTGGTAGAAATTGACAAGCACTTTCCAAAATCTATATGGAAATGCAAAGGGTCAAGAAAATTCAAGGCAGTCTCAAAGGAGAACAAGGCTGTGGGGTTTACCCAACTATTTATCAAGTCTTATTTATTTATTTATTTATTAAAATATCTTTTCCATCCTCTTTTTCTTTCTTTTTATTTTTTCTTTATTTCTTTCTTTTACCCTGATTTCTATCATTTTGCTGTGCTCAAGTCTTATTTATTATACAACAATAATAATTAAAACAGGGTTGCATTGGTACAAAGATATCCAAATTAATCAACAGAACAGAGAGCTCAGAAATAGACCCCCACATAGGAAGACACTTGATTTATGACAGAGTAGGACATGGCAGTGGGAAAGATGATCTTTTTAAAGAATGATATTGGGTCCATTGGATAGTTATATGGGAGAAAAAAATGAAACTTGATTGTAGATACATTTTTGCTCAAAATGTGAAAGTTAAAAATGTTAAGTTTCTGTAGGACAAGATTCATGACCTTGCCATAGGTAAAGAATTCTTAAACAGGTCACAAAAACACCAACTAAAGGGAACAGATTGATAATTGAACTGCATTTACATTAGGATTTTCATTTTTCATGTTAACTACATGATGATTCGTTTGGGGATGTTATATGTGGGACTGAAATGGAAGGACAAGAGGAAAAAAGGATTGGAACTAATGACTTTTAATGTCTTTCTTATAAACCAGAGAGCCCTGTTACATTCTGTGATAAACCATAAGGAGACGATTTCATACACTATCATTGAAAACAGAAACATTGTCATTCTAACAAACTTGAGATATTCTAAAAGTACTTTCAGGTGATTTCAGTTTTTTTTTTCTTTTTTGATAGAAACTACCAGTTTGGTTTAATTGCTGGCATATTGGAAAATGTTTGCCTTTCATTTTCCAGCTATAATTGCCATGAGGTAAAAGCACAGCCATGATTAAACTGGGAATTACATAACAATGCAATCACAAAATCCTCGTTCATGGTCTGATGTCCAGTATTAATGTTTTATTTTTTTTTCTTTTATTTCATCATATTATGGAGGTACAAATATTGTTAGGGTTACAAATATTGTCCCTGCCCTCCACTGTCTCCCCCCATGTGTCAAATCCCCGGGTGGTGTGCACCACACTCGCTATGTAAGCATACTCCTCTTTCCTCCTTCCCGCTCCCACCTGCCCATTACCTGATAAAAAGTTTTTTTTTCCTTTTTTGTTTGTTTGGTTTTTTTATTTTTTTAACATTTTGGTTACATTGTATATCTTTGCCTCTTCCTAAGAAGGGTTAGAGTTATGCCCTTCCCCTCCAAAATTCTCGCCACATCCCTAGGATTGGGTCCCTCCCCCCATGTTTTAAAAATAATCAGTTGCTTTGCTACTGAGTAGATATTGTTTATCTAATAAGACTACTTAGTTATTTTGAAGAGAATGACTTTTATGTTGTCATTTTCTCCCATAGTCTGCACAAACAAAAGATGTTTTCTAAATGGTGAACCATTTTGAGAAATAATATTTTAGTATATTTTTAAATACATTTGATTTATCTTTTGGAGTTTTCAGCTA